TTTTTTGGGGGGGGGGGGGGGGGGGGGGGTTCCCGAGCTTGGCGCAGGGTGTCGTAGGGACTATGAAAGGTCTGTGCGAAAACGACTGCCGAACAACCACGTGACCGCGCGTTGACCCGTCAGTGTCGGACCGAGTATGTTTCCAGCTTAAGAGGTTGCAGCTGGATACTGTATGTCTACAGCCTCTGTGCAGAAAACACTTGAAATTTAAGAATTTGAATAAGAGCACTGTGGACAATTTTACCAATACCCAATGGGTGCTTTTGAAAAGATTTATGCTGCCCTGGCTCTGGTTGAAAATTTAACACAAAAAGTAAGCTCCTCTGATTTTTAAATACATTTTCAAAGTTATTGGGACATAATTACATTCATTAGTACTGGTATGACATGCATGAATGAGTCAAAGCAACACCCAGAATGTTGCTTTGACTCATTCATGCATGCTGATGTTGATGAGAGAATGACATGATGTAAAGCTCAAAGTTGATTTTGCATATTACCCCCATTTAATCAGATCAGTATGTCCAAGTCAGTGCTGATAATTAAAAAAAAAGATGTCTGAACTTGTCTAAGTAATCATCATAACAATCAATCTACCTGTAGATTGTTGATGTTAAGAGACAGGTCTGTACCTGACACTGATGTAGAGAATAGAGTCCAAACTGACATATCCAGCACTGGAGAAGTTCTCCTTGTACTGGCCCATCTTGATGGTTTCCAACCAGTCATCCACCGTGTTCACACTGAACTCTGGAGTGGGCGGGTCCTCCCTGCTGAGATGTAAAGCAAACTTAAAACTCCAGGTTTTGGCCCAGTGAACACGTAAACAACTTTTACTTACTGCTGCTTTGGCAATTTACTACTCCTCGTAAACAGATTCCAAACATAAAACTGCATTTGAACAAAACTGCTTGAATTTGGCAATAAGAAAACCATGCAGTCAAGCCAAATAAAAACATAAAAAACAAGTTTCAAACTCCAACCTTTAGTCAAGAAGAATGATTTATGACTCTTTAGAACTTAGCTATTGCCACTCTTTCAGCACAAGTAAATGTTACTTGTAGAAGTATTTGACTTTCTTGCTTTCATCTTTTAATTGTATACATTTAATAATTTACATAAAACCTAGAAAAGGTCATCTTTTGTACAAACAGTATGCACTTACATGGTGAAATTTAATTTGTGCAATACTACAGTCTTCATAATGAGATCTTTGTGTAAGGCTTTTCTCTGGTCATGTGGTTGATTTTGTTTACTCTCTGGGGATTTAACAGTGCTACTTTGGAGCTCCTGCTGCATTTATGCTGGTCTTTGGTATTTCTTTCTGTTTTGAGTGTTTGTCTGTGGAAGTGATTCAAACGTCTGCGTGCTGCACTGATTCAGAGCATCAGCTAAGTGCCTGAGGTCCAAAATGTAAATGCAAAAATAATGACATTCTTCAGGATGCGTGAAAAATAACTGGGGATTCAAAAAATCTAAATTAAACAAAGCAATTGATATACCAGCCCCAACCTTGTATCTTTTTGATTTTCTACTTTGAAAACTGTCTTTTTGTTTGGATCACATTTGGAACATTTTTATCTAAAAATGACACCTTTTTGTTACAAATTACACTAGCAAAAAAGTACACTTTTGAGTTTTTACTGTTCTATATTTTCATCTGTCTATCCAAAGTCTACAATAGAGAAGTTTAGTTTTATTGGATACATTTCTCCCACTGACCACACTGAGCTGTTGGCCAGCTCCCGCAGACTGGCTGGGTTTCTGATGAGCTTGTCCAGGATTGTGACAATCTGCCCAAACTTTGGCCGGTCGCTGCGGCCTTTCTCCCAGCAGTCCAACATGAGCTGGTGTAACACCACAGGACAGTCCATAGGAGCAGGAAGACGGTAGCCTTCGTCTATTGCTTTGATCACCTGCAAGGAAAGAACAAAAAAAGTACTGATTTATCATCACTTTAGACATAAAGTTTCTTAAAACTTGGTGCTTTTAGAAGGTACATTAGTGAAGTGTGGTAAATGACACTACAACTGATATGTAATGTGCTTATTTGGGACTTACATCCTGGTTGGACATCTCCCAGTAGGGTCTTTCTCCATATGAAATCACCTCCCACATGACAATACCATAACTCCACACATCACTGGCTGAGGTGAACTTCCTGTAGGCGATGGCCTCTGGAGCCGTCCATCTGATGGGGATCTTCCCTCCCTGTGAACAGTTTCCCAAAACAGTCTTACTTTTGTCTTTAAAAAATACAAATATTACAATGAAGGAATTTACAATGATAATGTTTTATGGCGCCATTTTTATCTCTCCAGGGTTTAGAAAGCAGTTTACAAAGTTTCTCATTCACCTGTTCACACACACACACACGCACGCACGCACGCACGCACGCACGCACGCACGCACGCACGCACACACACACACACACACACACACTGTGCCTGCTGTTATTCAGAGTGAGTCAAAAGACACAGAAAAATTAAAAATTTTCTAAGAAAATGGAAAATGACATATCTGAATACCTCAGCAAGTAATTGGTGAGGCTATGTCCAGAACATCTTAAAAGCCATAATATTGGACGAAAAATAAAAGGATGTCCTGTGTCTTTTGACTCACCCTGTATATTTTCCATACTAAACAGTATACAGAACTACTTCTCACTCATAAATTGAAATTTGAGAGCAATGGAAGGATGCAACCTCTTGCCCAATGACACTTTGACACACCTCATAGTCTGGGGATTGAACACTCAGCTGTCCAATTGAAAGACAGCATCTCTACCACTGGGCTAATGACATTTAAATTATTTACAAAAACTTGGGTTTTTATTTGCCCAATTTTGAAAGAAAGCAAAAGCATGCTTTATGGAGTGGACAGTAGAAGCAAATACTGGTTAAAAAAACACACATTTGAAAAACACAAGGACTCCTCTACATTGATTTGTGATTGTGGTTGATGTTGAGTACCAATAGTTTGACTGAAGGAAGATGTGTCTGCTGCTGTCTTAAGCAAAATCATGACAAATCTCTAAATTTTGCATTAATTCTCCCTCAGAATGATACTGTACATCAGAAAGCTCAAACTCAGGTTGTCTGAGGTCTAATATATGTTTTTATACCTGTTGGTGCAGACAGTAATTTTTTTCTGACTTTGTTATTAAACTAAATGACTCTAAACAGTCTGAGAACAAGCACATACAGTAGAAACTAATACACTGTAGAGCAAATTTAATCTTCGGTTAGTTTCATTATGTTCCAAGCATTTTGCACCCTGACTGAAACCAGAGGCGATTGCTCCAAGACTGCAAGGGAAGCTCAGCTTCCCCTAAAATGTAAATAAATAAATAAATAAATAAATAAATAAATAAATAAATAAAAGATCAAATATATACAGTACTGTTGTGAGTACGTCATTGACTAAATATGCGCTAATGCACGCAACTTTTGTTCAGAATCAGCTTCTTAGCACTGGTAACAACGTGACTTTCCTCTCATTCCTGCAGCTTCACAGTGCTTTAAACAATGTGGACACTGAGATTCCACATACGTAGTTCATTAGTGAAGCAAAGGGTGCAGTGCAACAAGATGAGTCATTGGTTAATGCTGGGCTTTGTCCTGCCCATCGGACGCTGAGCATCTCTGGAGGTCTATGGGGCAGTAGGCTGGCCTCGGCTGGCCCGGACGCTCAGCTTCTGCATGATGGTTGGATGATCTGTCTGAGGCTGAATCCCTTTTTGATTGACAGCAAAATGAGTGAATCAGTGATCTTTTGGGGTAAACATTCCGTGGGAGCTTTTTTTTTAGTTTAGTTTCTGTTCTGAGTTGAAGCGGAGACTTTATTAATCCTTTTAGCAGCATTTTCTTTGTTAAAAATGACTAGCAACAAATCGAGCTTCTATTTCTGGTGGTTATTTTGTAGCTGCTTGTGTTTGGAGACTGACTTCTATCACTCTTTCTGACTTCTTCTGTCCAGCGGCTGCTGCTGTGCCCCTTCACCATCACAAAACACTCACAGGCGGACACACTTCACATTAGCCTCGCACCAGCAACAAGCTGCACGGCAGACAGTTTGAATGTTGTGGACCGGATTTTGGCAAAGCCATTTGATAGTCTTCCTTAGGAAGAAGAACTTATAGTTAAACAGCAGGGCTGATCAACTCCTCAGATTAATTTGGTGCAAAAGGTGAGGAAAAGTAACAGGTCTTTTCAGCTGTCCTGGTATGACAAAATGAGCTGGCTGCTGTAAAAGACTAGAATAATCTGGAAAATGATTATAAAAGCATTGGATCAATTAATTCCTTTAAAAAGATGATCAAAGCAAAATTGTTAAAGAAATATGAAATTGTTTAATTTGTATTTGTACGAGTCACTGTTTGAGGAGTTGATTTTTTTGTTTTGTTTCATTATTTGGTTTATTGTTTGAAATTAATGGTTTTTTGTAAATAGGAGCAGATAAAAGAGATTTTTCTTCTTCTGCTGCTTTTAATTTAATTTTATTTGCATTGTTTTGTTGTATGTAATGTTTTGCTTTTTAAAATGAAATGAATAAATACTATAAACTAAAAAAAATGATCTGTGACAAGGTCACAGATCATTTTCTTGAAAAGGAACGGAGGGTAGAATGTACAAACCGACACATTTTATGATGTAGGCCGAAACTGAGCTTCCTCTTCTTGAAAGACCTGCATCCGCCACTGACTGTAACGTCTGCTATTGAAACTATGAAATATATGTATATTGCTTCAACATATTTATACAATTTTCTCTAATCAGTGCATATAATGTGCATTTTTGAGTATGTGTGCTGATTGGTTAAAGCTGAAATCACAGGGTATAGAATCAGAGGTAATTTCCTGAAGCACTAAAATACCAAGTACAAATTTTCTACTACCATCAAATGCAGTCAGAAAAACTGATTGAATGAATGTTTGATTAAATATCTTTCTCATTCCCCCATCTACTGATCCAATCATCAGGTACAAAAGGAGAGATGTGCGGAAATTACAGAATAATTAATTTAAATTCCAAATATTTTTCCCTCTGAATATGAATAGCACTTTGTTTCATATTTAGAGGWGTAAAAACATGAAGACAAGACAGTGGCTGTGCCATTGAAATAAATGGTGTTTGGTTGCTTTGAGTATATATATATAAACATCAGTTTTATTCTAAAGGAGACACTGTTCAGATTGTGTGAGAGGTAGAAGAATTGCAGTCTGGGCCATCAGTTTTCTTTTTAAATCCCCGAGCTGCCCGTGCCTTTGTTGTTGATGCAACAGATCAAAAGGCTTCCATACGGTCTGCCGTATGTATAGACAGACACTCCTGGACTTCTTCGCTCGCTCCAACACACCCAGATGCTGCACCTCTATAGGCTCGCCTCAGCTCTTTAACATGCGGGCTGCTGCCTCTGCACCACCTAGCACTCCCCGTCTCTGCTCGCTGAAAGTCAAATGAAAGACAAAGCTGCCAAGTTACTCAGCAGTGTACTTTTGTTTCCACCACCCTACCCTCCGCCCCTCCATCTTCTTTTTTTTTATTCTTCTTAACTGCTCTCATTGGATCTGTCTCCTTCCGTCCCTCATTCTCGCTGTATTTCCTCCGTGGATCTTTCTGTGTCTTCCCCATCTCCGCCTCAGTCTTAGCTGCTGCTATGCCCCCTCCCTCCCTCCATCWGCGCCTGCAGCTCCCCATCTAGGTCTGTTGACATCAGTGGGAGTTTGTATGCGATTGCTACAGCTCAGTCAGCGGCTGATCCCCTCCTCCTAGGGCAATGCTAATGCCATATTAAGAATAACATCCCCAACTTTTCCCATGAATATGAATAGTGCCATCTCCTTGTGGACATCTTTGATGAGTTACTCCGCAGTGGTTTGACTCATTGATGTTTGAGTTTCTTCAGTCTTGTTGAGTGCTGTGAGACGGTGCTGCAGTCACCAGTGACTGATTCGACTACATAAAAGCAAAAAAAAATGTTGAAGACTTGTTTTGTCTCTGTCTTCATTAGGTGAACAGCTTTGTTTTTATTGTTGTAGCAGATAGTAGAGCCTTTATATACCACTGCTAGTACAGTACAATGTCAGCATGTATTTAGTCATTTGAATACTTTTGTTTCACTTCATTTTTTAAAAAGATGTATGATAATGTAGTCTGTGTGCCTTCATATTTGTCTTTTGTCTTTCAGCAAAATATCTGATAAACCACTGGATGGATTTGAATAAAACTGAGCATTGGTTGCACATCTGATTACCCTTTGAAGTCAATTCCATTCAAGATGGCTGCCACAGATAACTGATCTTAGCAAACACTAGTTTAGAACTCAGTCAATAGCTATGTTTACATGCACAAAATTCTTTGATCRGATTGAAATGTATTCGGATTAAATAATCGGAATGTATTGTTTACGTGGGCACAATCCGATCATGACGAGTGTTTTCATGCACCGGGCTTTTATTCTGAATAGAAGCACTGACATGCGCAGTTGCTAACATTCCCTAAAAAAAAAAAAAAAAAAAAAAAACAGAAAAAAGTTTTACTTCCGTGATGAACATAAACAAGCAGCTTCTGAGCGCTCAAAATGGACCTGCAACAGGTTTTAATAATGGTGGAGATGCTACTCCCTGGTTCAGCTGCAGGTGATGAGCAAACTTCTTTTTATTTTTTATTTTTTTGCAAAACGGTGCAGGCTGTGTGTCTTCCTTCTTTATGAGAGAACAGGGGGAAAAGTTCTGTCTGCTGGAAACCGCTGGATGAAAGTCAGCAGACATGCGCTGTCAGGTCAGTTTTCCACAATCAGAATAAGATGATCAGATTATGTGTTGACATGCATGCTGTTCAGATTATCAATCGGCATAAACCACCTCTCTCGCTCCGGTTACAAATGCATTTGGATCGAGCTGAGTTGGGTCAGAATACAGTAATCCGAATGGGGTGTTTACATGACACATTTTAATTCCGAATGGCCGTTTAATCCGATTACTTATGTCCATGTAAACGTAGCTAACGTTTCAGTTATTGAGATCCAATCACTGTAAAAAATGAAATGTTGAATTTACTTAACAATGCTAAGTTACCTGATTCCACTTAACTGAGTTGAGTAAATTCAAAACAATGTACCAGTTTTTTTTAACCAAAGAACACAAGTATGTTGCTTTGAATTTACTCAACTCAGTTAAGTGGAATCAGGTAACATAACATGGTTAAGTAAATCCAATATTTCATTTTTAGAATGTGGTAGTAGCTTAGAGTGATCCCCATCACATACTGTATTATGAGTGCTAACAGATACTGTATTTGCTTAGAATGATGTTGGCTTTACCTGCATGAGTCAACTAACTCCGCCCGTTAACAAAAAATATCATAAACCACTAGACAAGTTTTAATGGGACTTTTAGAATGTAATTTTTGGATATTGATCAACTTTTGGAGTCAACCCAATGCATGATGGCTGCCACACCTAATCAAGATCAGAAAATACAAAAGGGCTCTCCCTCAGTCAATTTCACAGAGACTGAACAAAAAATCTGTGTGGTAGTAACTAGTGCTGTCTCAATACAGATACCAGCATTTTTAATAGTACTCGTACTTGTTTGAAATGCTTCAATGAAACCTCCATTCTCGACACCAGTGTGAACGCTTTACGCCACCGATGCGACGCGCATGCAGAAAATTTTGTGACGTCATGTTCAGCGCTCTGCTTACAGACGTAAACAGGTGGATCCTACATGTTGGCGTGTCGATTCTGCAGCTGTGCGATCAGAGCAGATTAAATAATTGTGCTTGTTTAGTTCAGTGTTTACATTTTAACCTGCTTCTTGCCAACTGCTCCAGTGCAGCATTATGGAAACTGACTCCAGTACCTTGGCATGGTTCAACACTAACTTTACTATCATATGTTTCTGTAAATTGTCAGTCATCCAGGACACGGAAAATTCAAATAAAAATGATGAAGAAACTGAACTTCTATTCTGTAGCTGAAGACATGTGGAGCTACAAGATTTAAACTGCATGACTCGAGGTTAGTGTCGTCACTTAAATCAAACTGTATCCCATCACCTCCCTGACATAAAAGTCAGATAAAATGCGACATGAGCATTCAGACTGCAGTCGCTTTGAAATTAAATAAAGAAATGTGCTTTTATAATGTAATGTTTGAGTTCTAACCCAGTAAGTAATCTGTAGTGGTATTTGGTACTATTGTACTTGTACCCAAATTGAAGTACTCGTACTTGTACTTGGTTTGAGAAAAACTGGTGTAAGGACACCCATAGTAGTAACTGGTAGTCATCCTCAGATCACAAAAGTTTTTGTTTAAAACTTTGGCATGCTAAAATACAAGTTTTCATTGGAAGGACTGGGCCAAGCTGTGCGAGTATGCCTTACCCTTGTCGTGTAAGCGGCCTCTGGGTCGTCCTCCAGAACCCGACTCAAGCCAAAGTCTGACACCTTACAGACCAGGTTGSTGTTGACCAGGATGTTGCGAGCAGCCAGGTCTCGGTGAACATAGCTCATGTCTGACAGGTACTTCATACCTGAGGCAATGCCACGCAGCATTCCAACCAGCTGGATGACTGTGAACTGACCGTCATGTTTCTGTAGTGGGGTGGGAGGGCAGGAAGAAAAAAAAGTGAATTAATACACAAAGCTAACATCAGGCTGCAATGTGGTGGCACGCTGTCAACAGCTTTAGCTGTAATTGAATGTTTAAGCCAGGATTCAAGTTGTAATGGCAGCATTCCACATGTCTCAAGTGTCCCCTGAGCTACCCTCTGTATATCTTCCAGCTCCTCTTAACCCTGTGCTCTGACCTTCCGTCTGGAGGGTGGCGAGGCAAAGATGAATTTCTCTTTTCAGGGATCAATGGAGGATCACAACAACAAAGGGATCCTACTTACAGGGGATTGAATCTAACCCGGCAGACAAAACTTTCCTCTTTCACACTGACTGTGTGCCCACGCAGAGCTCTCAGGATTCCAGATTTGAGCTGTCTTTGGCAGAGAGTGCAGCCTGTTGATCGATGACGGTCCAGCTCACCTTCTTCTGCCAATTATTTCTGCCCTGGGCCAACAGTCTCCGCTAAAGAGCCATTCATGTTATCAGTCACCCTCTCCCCTTTATATCATTTCTCCTTCCTCTGTGTCTTTATGATCGCCATCCATCTCTGTCCCTCCTCAGTCTCTGTCTCAGAGAGAGACAGAACTCGGTAATACTTTGACTCGGTCTCTATCTATCTATCTTCTCTCATCCTCCTGCATCTGAGCACCCTTCCACTCCTTGTCTCTGTCTTTTTTCTTTCTCTCTCCCTCGACAGCTGTGGAGTAAGTTAATTAGCTGGTGGTTTTGTGAGATGCTGATTGATTGGGCTGTCTAACAAACCTACAGACTTCCTCTATCAATCTACCCACTGCACTGTATTGCCAGGAAGGAGGGAGGTAGGTAGGGTAGGCAGGGGCATGGAGGGAGCCAAATAATAGGTAAACCTTAACATGGGAAATTAAAAAACAAACAAACAAACAAAAAAAGAACATTTCAGGAAACAGTGAGCAGGTACGGGCAGATTATGAAGAGCAAAACGGCTGCTACTTTAGTGTCTTATTTGCTGAACAAATGGTCATAATAAAAAACACAAACTGTAAAGATACCACACACGATCTGTTAAAACCATTAACATTAGCTTGGCAATCATGAGGCCTCACTATGAGCATGCTTGAAACCTCCATTCCATACCTGATGTGACGCAAAACCTGCAGGTTTCTGGATTTTTGTGTGATGCGGCTTTCAGGAAATTTGTGTTTTGTTGTTTTAAATCTGTCACTTTATTTTGCCTCGGTGTCACAGATGTGATTGGTGTCTCCTTAGCAAAGGGCCTATCATCACAGCCATAATGGCTCTGGAGTGCTGCAGTGATTTTACTGGCTGACAAACAAGCCTGAATATGAATCGGGGGGGTTGTTGAACACGATACACACCAGGACTGAAACATGCTATTTATCTGGCTGCATGAAAAAACTCTCATTTCAAGGTTCCCCAGCTAAAATCCATGCAGCTCCTTCGAGGATTATGCATGGAACATGTTCCAAATTTTGAAACATGGAACACGTGTTGGGGATCTTCCAATGTGCATTGAGTTTTTTWAATTACCGTGTGAAACCACCGGTCGGTTTTGATAAATACCCTGTTTCATTTGGCTTCAGATTTATGAGAATATAGATAAAAGAAATAATTAATTAAAACCATCAGCCTAATTGTCATGACCCAAACTAAAACCATTCTGAGACATGAAATTACTTGCTTTTCCTTTTTCTTTAAGTTGATTTCATAAAGCAGCAGCTCCAAATCAGAACCAAGTCATTAATAAGAAAATAAAACTTCAGTTCAAGATGGCCGCCTCCGCTATACAACATGAGCAAACACAAAAATGAATACAACTTAGTCAATTTTATAGATATTGAGCTACAATTTGATGTGGCTTTATCTGAGAATCATAACTTAACTATACCTTAACTATACGAGCGCTAACAGATCTCACATATCATTTACAGGTTTTGACCAAAGATGATCCTAGTTTACAACTCAGTCATAAAAGGTGCCAGGTAATTTGTATTTCTCCAAGAAATGCTAGGTATTTATTTATTACATTATGTAAACTAGTATTTGCTTATACCCTCTCTACAGAAAGCCTTTTCACGAGATTTAAACTACCATTTTAGGCCACATATTATTTTCAACAGAATTAAAAAAAAACATGCTCTTGAGCATTTCTATTCTGGGTAATGACCTGGAGAATTTCAAACTCTTTACAGTTGGGGCAGCATTTTCTGTGGGGTCGTCATAAAGCATCACACAGCTGGCCTTGGAAGAAATGCAAATCCTACCCGGCCGAGCCATGACTCACCTTGAGGAAAGTGTCCAGAGATCCATTTTCCATGAACTCCGTTATGATCATCACTGGTTTACCTACGGAGACACAACATACGGCAGCTGGTAATAAGGCAAAGTTACAAGGAAGGAGCACACCAACTATAAAAAGACGAGGGACGGTGAAGAAGCAGAGAGTGCAGCTGTGGCCAGCCGCTTTCTCCGTCTCCCTGCTTCTCTCTGGGGGATAACATGGCATGTCGTCATCAGTCACACTGACAGCTTCTAATCAGCCCTCTCCATAAACGCCAGGAGATAATTAGAATAGACCAATCCACCAGAATGGGTGTGTATGTGTGCGTGTGTGTTTGAGGGGGGCCTCCTGAGATCTCATGAATACTAATCAGCCTCAAGGGAAGGGGGTTGTGGTTTGATCGCTGTGCACCTGCACCTTGCACAAGTGTGTGTTAGTGTGTGATGAAGGAGAGGCTGCCTGACTGACTGACAGGCCCAGCGCCCTGTGATCCCCTGCATGGCATCTGGTGGGGCTTACAAATGATTAACAAAGTACCTGCAATCACATGTATACACACACACACACACACACACACACACACACACACACACAC